CCACCAGCTCCGCTATCTCAAGAAGAAATGACACGAAGGCTCTGCCTCCAGCACGTCACCCGGGAGCCCGGATCATGAAAGCCACTCTGTCACAAAGGGCTCCATGGTAACAGGGGGGCTGGGCTCCGGCCCACCATCAAGGGTGCAGAGAGTGGGGAGGGGCTGCCAAAAACATGGCAGGTGTGTGTTGGGTGCGGGAGAAGGAAGGCCGTGCCCACAGCTCAGGCCCACCATCAAATGTCACCCTGCAAGGTCACTGGGTCACAGTCAAACCGAACAGTATAAACTGCTTCAGAAACCACCACCGCTAGGGATGAGCACGTCTTCTAAGTGGGCTTCTGCTTCTTCCACCCCCGAAACAAGCCTGCAGTGAGGCTACTGAAAGGGCACCCCTGAACTCAAGGGTGTGCCCAGAACCCACATGGCTGAGGAGGACTCCCCGCACTGGCTTCCCCTCACTCTCACCCTGAGCTTGGTCCTCCCTGACTGGCTCCCTCACTTGAGCTCAGCAAGGGCTTGACCAACCTTGCTCTGGGCGCTTACAATGAACCCAGAGTGGGGACAGGGGTTCATTCAACCTGCTGTGAGCTCACCTTCTTAACTTCAACCCTGGGCCGCCAGACGACTCGGCCCCATGGGGACTGCATGGTGCAGGTTCAGGGGTGGCCCTGCCTCAAGCCGTGACAGCCAGCACCTCCCAGATCCCTCCAGGGGCTGCCCCGCCCTCCACGCGCAAGTCTCCCACCCCCTCTCCTGACCCCACTCCCAGCCTCGCGGCTCTCCACACACCAGGGCATAGCCCACACTGCTCCTGGCTCAGCCTGGTCCTCTGCGGTCACTTGAGGACTCAGTCCCCGGGGTGCTTGAGGTCCTATATCCGCCTATCTCAGCAATGACAGACTCTGGGGAGACAGGGTACAGTTTGGGGTCCCACCCGCAGTGCACCCTGAACACGGTCTTTTTTTTTTTTTGCTTTATCTACTGCAGTTCTCTGAGACGTCTTTTGAAAACCTCAACTGTGGCTTTCAAAAAGACTGTAAAATCACTGTGCTCAACTTGAAGAATAAAATCTTCATTTTCAACCTTAAAGTGAAACTGGAGGGAAGATTAAAAGCAGTCATTTTTCAAACTGAAAAAGAAAACCCACAGGTGACCCCATCACACAACAGGTCACGCAGCCCCGCTCTCCTCAGCTTCTCCTCCACCACCAGCAGCCCGTCATCGCAAGGCCTGCCCTGGGCTGGCAGGCGCAGGGGAAGCAGGCACACCGGCTCTTCCGTCCCCAGGCTGCGTGGGCTGCTTGCTCCACCTTCTTCCCAAATTCAAGTGGCACTGAAAGAGCATGGGCAAGCTGGGGATTCTGATCCGAAACACAACCGTGGGTACTAAGCAAGGACCCCTGCCTCTTGTTTTCCCGGTATCAAATAAAGATGATCAGTATAATTAGTGTGATGCTTACATGTGGCTTCAGATGAGAGAAGACACCCAGAGCTTCCCCACGTCCAGTTACAAACGCAAGCAGCTTGTAGGTCAGCCTACCCAGAGCTAGAAAAGCTAAATACATTTTAAAAGAGGTCCTCAGGCAGCCACAATCCAAGATCTCAAGCAAAAGGGAAGCCCAGTGAGGCAGCTGGAGACTGAGAGGCCGCTCCTTCCCCCGGGACATCTGAACAAAGCTGACTCTGCAAAGAAAAGGCGGGGGAACGTCCAGCAGAGGGGACTGGCTGACACAGCTCTGGACAGCTCCTCGGACTGGGAAGACAAACATATGAGCGTAGGCCTGACAAGTCAGTCCTGATGGTAGAGACCAGTCTCCCTAAGAAAAGTTAGGCACAGAAAACGTACCCAACACCCTGCCCAAACTGGCTGAGCACTGAGTATCAATCACCTCGTGGTCTTCAGGAGGTGGACGGTGGGATTCAGGACCTGCCTAAAAGGAGGGGCCCTGGGAGGCACCCCAGGCTTCCAGATGGAGATGCTGGAGGGCTCCTCCCTGGGGTCGGGTGAGGGGGGCGGGGAAAGTGGGTGAAGGCTGCTGAGACTCAGCTCACAAGGACCCCCTAGCCTCAAGTCACTCAGGCCCTGAGCGAACACAGAGCTCTGTCCCCACGAGAGGTCTACGTCAGAGGAAAGCCTGGAGAAGACAGCATCACTCAGCACCTCTAGGGCTTTCCAAACGTAGTACCCAACATGCAAACAACAAACCAAAAAAGGGTGCAACAACAAACAGGACCAACAGAAAAAGAACTGAAACAGATCCAGAGGGATCAGATGCATATCAGCATATCAGAGGTATGCTAGATGTATCAATTGCAAATGTCACCAGTTCAAAAAATATACTTGACCAAAGAAAAAATTTCTGAGAATCAAAACGGATGCTACAACTATAAAAAAAACAGTGACGGAATTTAAGAACTCAGTCTCTGGGATTAACATCAAATTAGAAATAGCTGAACAGAGGATCAATGAACTGAAGGATAGATCAGTTAAAAATATATATATGACGGAAAAGTATAGAATATATTGAAAGAGCCTGTTGTTAAACTATGTTGTTAAAGATATAAATGGGTCCCCTTATGAGGGAGAAAAGACAGAAAGGGGAATAAGAAATGCCTCCAGGAGTTGGAACTAAACAGCCTATTGATGAAAGTGTAAGAGAAGAGTGAAAAAGATGGCATACAATTGAGCATTCAGAGCTAAATCACAGATTTGTCAGTTTCTCCAGAAGTAACCTATTTTTGATTCCCAAGGAGAATCGCAATAATAAAACTAAATTAATCTAGTAGGTTATTTTCTCTCTAATGGCACCTGTCCTGATTAATAGGATTTCGGTCGATCTATTTCCTGGGCTTCCCTGGTGGCTCAGATGGTCAAGAATCTGTCTGCAATGCAGGAGACCTGGGTTCCATGCCTGGGTTGAGAAGATCGCCTGGAGAAGGGAATGGCAACCTCTTCCACTATTCTTGCCTAGAGAATTCCACGGACAGAGGAACTTGGGAGGCCACAGTCCATGGAGTCACAAAGAGTCGGACACAGCTGAGCAACTAATACACATATTTTCTTACCATTTGCTGAGTAGAAGCAATCATTCAGAGCATTTTATAGCACTTTCTAAAGAACGCTTAGTGCCTTAGTGTTTCTATTTAAAGTTTCTAGGATGTTAATTTATATGCAAATAAAATACATAAGAGAGTTCTGTGCCTATTGTGTATATATGACCTCAAAGTAAATGCAAAATATTTATCCCAGAGGGAAAATAAGTTAGAGTGTCTGTGTTCAAAGACTTTTGAAAGCTCTTATTTCAGGCCGAACCGTTGCTGGTGAAGAGTGAAAGTCACTCAGTCATGTCAGACTCTGCGAACGCATGGACTATACAGTGCATGGAATTCTCCAGGCCAGAATACTAGAGTGGGTAGCCGTTTCCCTTCTCCAGGGGGTCTTTGCAACCCAGGGATCGAACCCAGGTCTCCTGCATTGCAGGTGGATTCTTCACCAGCTGAGCCACCAGGGAAGCCCCAACAGTTATGAGCAGTTAAGGATTTAACAAATGCTAGATTGTAAAGATAAAATAATAATTCTGCTACGTTAACACACATTTTCTTAAGATCAAATGTTCTCAAAGCAGTTTCAGGGAAGAAGTATTTCCCCCTTATGGAAATATCAGTATGTTAATCCCTAAGAAGTCCTTTTCCGAAAAGTTACAAAATAGTTGCGACAATGTAGATGATGTAGATTAAATGGTGATAAACATTGAGTTGATCTCAGTGAGGCAGCAGTGAGTGGTGGCCTGAAGTGAGATCTACTTCGCTGCCCAGGAACTGACCCTGGGTAGCCTGAACCAAAACCAGGAATCCTAGCCGCCAGACCAGCAAGGGCTAGAGGCTAGAAGCCAAGTTTCCCTGGATCTTTGACCAGTGAAAAATGCATTTATCATGGAGGCAGAATCGGTAAATGCAGGTACAACGTTTATTATTAGTGACACAGCACAGCAACATGTGGGAAAGCACACGGAGAAACAGCTGGTCTCGTTAAGACAGAAGCAAAGCAGAGAGACACACCTGGAGAGAAAGGTTATGGGCGCCCCCTAGTGAGAAGGAGCACAATAACCACAAGGCAGTTAAGTCATTTAGACAGGCCAGTTCTTCTGGGTCTTTGTCTTCCTTCCTGCCAAGTTTCTGGTTTCTCTCTTCCCATCTGACCTATCCTGGGACTCTCCCCTGGTGTGCACATACCCCTCAGCCAAGATGGATCTCCAAGTGGAGGCTTCTGGGAGAAGCAAGGCTCATTATGGTCTGGCATTTTCGCGGGACTTTTCACCCACAAGGAGCCTCTCTGCACATGTGTAGTGTTTCCCTTGAACCAAAAGGGGGGTGGGGGGAGGGGAGATCTCTTCATCCTTGACTCAAGCAGGAGTTTGTCCCTCTTTGCCCTTCCCATGGCTATGAAAGTGTTCATAAGAGACAGACACTGGCTATTTACCCTCTTTCTGTTGTTACTTCCATTTCAGAGGGCAAGCAGGACACTGATTGGAAAGGCTCAACTGGAGCCCAACCATCTCTTGCCTCAGGAAATGTAAACAGGCTAGATGTCAATGCCTAACCTGGAGTCCATCTGTCTCCTACAGCAGCATTACGGGAAGACAAAAGGTAGAAAATTATGCCAATGGGGCACCACATCATGGTGCAAAAAGATGGATATAGACAAGGAAAGAAGGAATAAAAACTAAGCATGATGCTAATGGAAACCATTATGCAAGTTAATGGGGGGTGGGGGGAAACCTCATGGAAAACACTTGCATTTATGCCATAAACCATCTTTGAATTCAGGTCTAATTGAAATGTTCACCATAAACTTTTCATCAGCTATACATTGGCTTGCCGTCTACTTTGTGCAAAAGCCTGGAGCTCCTAACTACCAGGGGGTCTCCCATCCAAGTACTAACTAACCCTGCATAGTTTCCCAGATGAGAAGACATCTGGCCTATTCAAGGGGGTATGATCTTAGATGGAGGCGGCTGTCGCCAGGGTCCTTTGAAAACCCTGCGCTGCACCTCCTTTTCGCCCTGATGTGCCGTGTCGAGCCAGCCGGCCCCACCTTTCCACGGGGCGCGCCGGCCACAGCCCGGCCGAAACCGCCCCGTCCCTCACACCGGCAACCCTGGCCAGCAAACCTGGCCCGGCACGGGGGTCCGGAGTGTTTCCGGGACCCCGAGCGGCCGGTCGGGTGTGCATGCCTGGGCTTGGGTTTGGGGTGAGGGGCGCGGAGGTCTCGTCGCCCTCCCGGCCTGGGCCTCTCCAGGCCCGCCCCCTGTCGGCGCCCCCCCTGCCCACTCCCATTTGTGGCTCAGGGATACGTGACCCCGGAGGTGTCTGATTCGGGCCCGCCGCGGACCGCGGCCCTCGGTCCTCTGAGCCTCCCGCGGGCATAGGCGGAGTGCAGCCGGGGCCCTGAGCGCCTATCCTGCCTGGCACCTGCGTGGGGCCCAAACCCACCGGGAGCCACCAGCGAGGCCCACCCGAGCGCCTTCAGCCCCACCCGTTCGCCCGAACGTGGCCCCCCTCCTCGCCAAGCTGCCCGCCAAGCACAGGACCTTCCTGACGTCCTTAAAACTCTTGCTTCAAGAGTTCTAAGTACACTTCAGACAGCATCGACTGGATTTTCACCAACTGCTAAACAAACAAACAAACAAAAAACAGTTACTTTGATCCTTCTTGCCTTACTGTGAGCTGTAACAGTAACCTCATAGCTGCTGCACTCAACGATTTGATGCATTCTGTTGTTTAACAACAGGGATTCTCAAAATTGTCAAAATGGCTATACTACCCAAAGCAATCTATAGATTCAATGCAATCCCTATCAAGCTACCAACGGTAGTTTTCACAGAACTAGAACAAATAAGTCCACAATTTGTATGGAAATACAAAAACCTCCAATAGCCAAAGTAATCTTCAGAAAGAAGAATGCAACTGCAGGAATCAACCTGCCTGACTTCAGACTATACCACAAAGCCACAGTCATCAAGAAGGTATGGTACTGGCACAAAGACAGAAACATAGATCAATGCAACAGAATAGAAAGCCCAGAGATAAATCCACGAACCTATGGTCACCTTATCTTCGACAAAGGAGGCAAGGATATACAATGGAAAACAGACAACCTCTTTAACAAGCGGTGCTGGGAAAACTGGTCAACCACCTGTAAAAGAATCAAACTACAACACTTTCTAACACCATACACAGAAAGAAACTCAAAACGGATTAAAGATCTAAACATAAGCCCAGAAACTATAAAACTCCTAGAGGAGAACATAGGCAAAACACTCCCTGACATAAATCACAGCAGGATCCTCTATGACCCACATCCCAGAATATGAGAAACAATAGCAAAAGTATACAAATGGGACCTAATGAAACTGAAAAGCTTTTGCATAACAAAGGAAACTAAAAGCAAGTTGAAAAGACAGCCCTCAGATTGGGAGAAAATAATAGCAAATGAAGCAACACACAAAGGATTAAACTCAAAAATATACAAGCAACCCCTCCAGCTCAACTCCAGAAAAATAAATGACCCAATCCAAAAATGGGCCAAAGAACTAAACAGACATTTCTCCAAGGAAGACATACAGATGGCTAAAAGACACATGAAAAGATGCTCAGCATCACTCAGTATCAGAGAAGTGCAAATCAAAACCACAATGCTGTACCATTACACGCCAGTCAGGATGGCTGCTATCCAAAAAGTCTACAAGCAGTAAATGCTGGAGAGGGTGTGGAGAAAAGGGAACCCTCTTACACTGTTGGTGGGAATGCAAACTAGTTCAGCCGCTATGGAAAACAGTGTGGAGATTTCTTAAAAAAAATCTGGAAATAGAACTGCCATATGACCCAGCAATCCCACTTCTGGGCATACACGCCGAGGAAACCAGATCTGAAAGAGACACCTGCACCCCAATGTTCATCGCACCACCATTTATAACAGGCGGGGCATGGAAGCAACCTAGATGCCCATCAGCAGACGAATGGATAAGGAAGCTGTGCTACATATACACCATGGAATCTTACTCAGTCATTGCAAAGAATTCATTTGAATCAGTTCTAATGAGATGGATGAAAGTGGAGCCTGTTATACAGACTGAAGTAAGCCAGAAAGTTAAAGACCATTACAGTATACTAACACATATATATGGAATTTAGAAAGATGGTAACGATAACCCTATGTGCAAAACAGAAAAAGACACACAGATGTATAGAACAGACATTTGGACTCTGTGGGAGAAGGCGAGGGTGGGATGTTTCAAGAGAACACCATCGAAACATATATATTATCTAGGGTGAATCAGATCACCAGCCCAGGTTGGATGCATGAGACAAGTGCTCGGACCTGGTGCACTGGGAAGAGCCAAAGGGATCGGGTCGAGACGGAGGTGGGAGGGGGGATCGGGATGGGGAATACATGTAAATCCATGGCTAATTCGTGACAAAAAAAAACTGTAAAGTAATTAGCCTCCAACTAATAAAAATAAATGAAAAAAAAAATAAAAACTGGGATTGATTGAGCTGCATGGGAGATGAATTCTCTCATTAGAACCTTTGCAACCAGGCTTAAGAAATATATTTAGAACTCATTTCTTTCAGGAAACAGGTTTCAAGATCTCCATAAGAAGTCTTTTATTAAGATAAATCACAGCTTTGTCAGTTTCTCCAGAAGTACCCTATTTTTGATTCCCAAGGAGAATCGCAATAATAAAACTAAATTAATCTAGTAGGTTATTTTCTCTCTAATGGCACCTGTCTTGATTAATAGGATTCCGGTCTTTGTATTTCCTGGGCTTCCCTGGTGGCTCAGGTGGTCAAGAATCTGTCTGCAATGCAGGAGACCTGGGTTCCATGCCTGGGTTGAGAAGATCGCCTGGAGAAGGGAATGGCAACCTCTTCCACTATTCTTGCCTAGGGAATTCAATGGACAGAGGAACTTGGGAGGCCACAGTCCATGGAGTCACAAAGAGTCGGACACAGCTGAGCAACTAATACACATATTTTCTTACCATTTGCTGAGTAGAAGCAATCATTCATAGCATTGTATAGCACTTTCTAAAGAACGCTTAGTGCCTTTTTTCTTTTCTGTAAGCTGCACTAGGTCTTGGTTGCCACACATGGGATCTTTCATTGTGGCGTGCAAACTCTTCCTTGCAGGGGATGGGATCTAGTTCACTGACCAGAGATTGAACCCAGGCCCCTGCATTGGGAGCAGCCACTGGATCGCCAGGGAAGCCCTCTAAAGAACTCTTCAAGGGAAACGTTTTGGATGTTCGCAGCAGCTCTGGGCAGTCCTAGTGATGATACTCGCTCTGCACTCTTGAGCCCGTGACTTCCCTGAGGGCACAGGGGCCAAGTGAGCAGATGCTACCCCAGCGTCAGACCGCAGGGCCAGACTGCCTGTGCAAAATCCCTTCCAGTGATGTCCTCTTTTTACTATTCCTCTGGTAAATTCAGTATTGCTTTCCTTGGAGCATGTGTTTAAAAGGAAATCCTAGATGAGTTCAGATATTACTGCCCACTTTTAGATGGATTGATATCTACCTAGGACTTGTTTATTAAACCCACCTGCCTGAGTACTGTGACTTGATTGGAGTTTTCTTGAAGTCACTCCTGAAGCATTGTGATGGCTTTGTCTAACATTAATACATTTTAAAAAATGATATGTGTTGCGGTATGGCCATGAAAAGAGGGGAGAATCTGTTGCGATTGCAAACCAATGATGGAGGCAACTTCAAAAGGAAACCTGAATTGTAACGATGTTTCTATTTATGTAAAATACTGCCCTTACCTTGCAGTCTGTAGTTGATGTGCACAGACACAGTAGTGGCTCTCAGGTTGCTCTTCTGCCTGCTTCCTGTCTCCTTCAGTCCCTGCATGTGTATAGGAACTTCAGTGAGATAATGGGGCATTTAACAGAGTTTGCTCTGTGCAACACTGTATTTAGTGTTTCTATTTTAAAGGTTCTAGGATGTTAATTTATATGCAAATAAAATGCATAAGGAGAGAGTTCTGTGCCTATTGTGTATATATGTCCTAAAAGAAAATGCGAAATATTTATCCCAGAGGGAAAATAAGAGCGTCTGTGTTCAAAGATTTTTGAAAGTTCTTATTTCAGGCCGAACCGTTGCTGGTGAAGAGTGAAAGTCGCTCAGTCATGTCTGACTCTGTGAACGCATGGACTATACAGTGCATGGAATTCTCCAGGCCAGAATACTAGAGTGGGTAGCCGTTTCCCTTCTCCAGGGGGTCTTTGCAACCCAGGGATCGAACCCAGGTCTCCTGCATTGCAGGTGGATTCTTCACCAGCTGAGCCACCAGGGAAGCCCCAACAGTTATGAGCAGTTAAGGATTTAACAAATGCTAGATTCTAAAGATAAAATAATAATTCTGCTACGTTAAAACACATTTTCTTAAGATCAAATGTTCTCAAAGCAGTTTCAGGGAAGAAGTATTTCCCCCTTATGGAAATATCAGTATGTTAATCCCTAAGAAGTCCTTTTCCGAAAAGTTACAAAATAGATGCGACAATGTAGATGATGTAGATTAAATGGTGATAAACATTGAGTTGATCTCAGTGAGGCAGCAGTGAGTGGTGGCCTGAAGTGAGATCTACTTCGCTGCCCAGGAACTGACCCTGGGTAGCCTGAACCAAAACCAGGAATCCTAGACGCCAGACAAGCAAGGGCTAGAGGTTAGAAGCCAAGTTTCCCTGGATCTTTGACCAGTGAAAAATGCATTTATCATAGAGGCAGAATCGGTAAATGCAGGTACAACGTTTATTATTAGTGACACAGCACAGCAACATGTGGGAAAGCACACGGAGAAACAGCTGGTCTCGTTAAGACAGAAGCAAAGCAGAGAGACACACCTGGAGAGAAAGGTTATGGGCGCCCCCTAGTGAGAAGGAGCACAATAACCACAAGGCAGTTAAGTCATTTAGACAGGCCAGTTCTTCTGGGTCTTTGTCTTCCTTCCTGCCAAGTTTCTGGTTTCTCTCTTCCCATCTGACCTATCCTGGGACTCTCCCCTGGTGTGCACATACCCCTCAGCCAAGATGGATCTCCAAGTGGAGGCTTCTGGGAGAAGCAAGGCTCATTATGGTCTGGCATTTTCGCGGGACTTTTCACCCACAAGGAGCCTCTCTGCGCATGTGTAGTGTTTCCCTTGAACCGAAAGGGGGGTGGGGGGAGGGGAGATCTCTTCATCCTTGACTCAAGCAGGAGTTTGTCCCTCTTTGCCCTTCCCATGGCTATGAAAGTGTTCATAGGAGACAGAAACTGGCTATTTACCCTCTTTCTGTTGTTACTTCCATTTCAGAGGGCAAGCAGGACACTGATTGTAAAGGCTCAACTGGAGCCCAACCATCTCTTGCCTCAGGAAATGTAAAC